CCCTCCCTCCCTCCAACTACCCCTCCCTCCCTCCGTCTACCCCTCCCTCCTCGTTCACCCCTTTTGATCAAGTGGCGAACAAAATGCCATCACACAGAAGGAATGGTCATGTGACGACCCTTGAACTGATGTCGAGTTTCAATCATGTCCCCAAGCTAAGAGAATCACCAGCCCTCATGAAACGTTTATTTTACTCTGAAGGTCTCTTGCTGGCGCACTCAAATAATCAGTGTTTAGTACGTTTACAGTAAAACTCTTTTGCCAGCATGCTGGAAAAGCCAGCATGTACTGTAGAGCGCTTTCGCTGGTGCAATGGAAAAGTCAATTCTTTTCGTTCTTGGCCAAACATGCTGCGGATGGTCCAATGCAAATCGGAAAATTGCCTTGCCTTGTCTTGCTTACCTAGATGAGCCAGATAGCACAACCTAAAGGAACGTTGATCGCAGACCGATGAGAAGCGGATCTTTACAGTTCACGTCATGGATGACTGTGCTGTACAATGTGACGCTCGTTGCTCGCATCTGCCTGGCCTAAGAAGGTTTTACTCTACGCCTATCCTGGTTTGTCTGATTTTTCCTATTCATTGACGGGATCTATGGTTGACATGCTGTCGTTGGACCGGTGCTTCAATCTGGCTTTAAACTTTAAAGTTTGATGAACTATGACTATAAGATGACTATAGTATAAGATAAGATGACTATAAGTCTAGTATAAGATGACTAAAAGATGGCTATGAGATGACTATAAGATAGCTATAAGATGACTGTAAGATGACACCTCATCATGACTTCGCTTAACATGGCACAGTGGCCGATGTCATGTTGCTCATGCATGGATAGCTGAAAAATAACACTTCTCTTCAGGGTTGCATACCTGCTGACGGCCGACCCGACCGCCGACCGTTTTGCAGCCGACCAGTAGGGCCGACCGGTCGGCGGTCTCCTGACCAATCAGAAAACAGCCATCCACTAATTTTTTTTTCAGATCTGAGTTGGAAGCTGTACTGCGCTTGCTGAGTACAGCCCAAATCCGCTAAGAAACTTTTTGGGGATGGGGTGGGGGCTGTCTCTTATACACATCTAGATGTGTATAAGAGACAGGGCCTACATGTTGTGCGACTTTGTATATGTACATATATTTAAATGCGTACATTTTCGCATGTGTACAGAGAGTCGGATTGTTGGATTGATTATTG